AGAGAGCTTCCGCCGAGCGGCTCCATCCGCTTGATTTCAGAGCGGTTCTGCTTGAGCAGGACCTGCGTCTCAGCACGTTCATTATCAGTGCTCATACGCCTCGAGCTCATTATCAAGCCACCCGTCGAGAACACGCGTTCTTGGAACGCGTTCGAGGACACGCGGCCACGCCAAACGCGAGCAAGAACGGAAACCGAAGGGAACCGCTTGGCGCCGACCTCCTTGAACCACCGGCAAACATCAAGATGCTTGAAGAGGCCCTGTAGACTCCAGCGCACAGTGCCGCTTCGGCGTACCAGTAAGAGGCCTGTCATCGCCTCCGCAGTCATGCCCTTGTCGTCAGCCTGCTGAACAGCTACTTGAACCCAGGGTACGTTGTGGCTCAGCCACCTGTCCAGCACCTCATCTGCTTCCTGGCGAAGAGAGCTTAGGGACCGCCGGCCTGCATCCTCCAACGTCAGCGGCGCTCCACATTGCATGTCATCGTCGTCCATTGACGGCACGAGGTCCAGTTGGAGACTTCTCTCCAGCGCTCTCGTGTACCTCATGCGCTGCAGCATGCATAGCTTGAAAGACGGCGCTGTGTGCGTGGCAAAGCAGCATCCGCCCTTCCTCGATCGCACCTTTTTCTTCCGTGATGCCGACGTCGCCGGTGCCCGGGCTATCCGTACTGCACTGCACCAAAGAATCAATAGAGTCCTTGGTCCATTGATCCAAGAGCAACACCACGATCGACTCGGCGGAGACATTAGTCAAGCACTTCTGGACTTGGGCCTTGATACGGCCAAGGCAAATCGCCGCACTAGCACAGAGGGAGGTCGCATCGATTACAGCCCTGGGCAACGTCTTGGCAGTAGTTCTAGGCGTGCGTAGCGCGTCCACATCATAGGGCGGAACTGGTTTGCGTTGAGCCGGTCGCACGCTAGTCACATAAGAACCAGCAACTTGGAGGAAATTTGGTCTTCTCTCTGGACCTCGATTCGTGCCAAGTCTGCCAGCATGTGTGTTACCGCCTCGCACTGGGCCATCGTCTGCCAGACTTCTTTCGATAACCTCGCGAATACCGTGGGATTATCGTAGGCCTCGCAGCGTTGGAAGTAGGTTTTGAATGCGGGGTAGTTCAGGATACCCTTCTGAAACAGCGTCACCGTCGAGGCCACGCGCGTATCACAGTCCACCATCGCGCTGAGGTCGGGCAAACCGTAGTGTTGCTGGACGCGCAAGATCCTCTCCACACGTTGCGGGGTCTTGAAGTAGTTGTTGAGATCACGGGTTTTCTTCACCAGCTTTGCGCCTTCGGGAAATGGACCTCCTGGCGTACACACGTGCCGCTGCTTCTGTAGCAAATTTGTCACCGGGTTGACCAAGTGGTAGGTCTTGGCGTTTTCCCTCATGCCGAGGCCGTACACGAGACACAGGTTTAATACGTGCATCGAGCAGTCCACTGGTACTGCATCTTCGTATAGTTTCGACACTTTACGAGCTGCTGGGCCGTATCCGACATGACGAAGTGAGCCATGCAGCCGATGTCAACGTCGTACAGCTCCACAATTCGACTCGAGATCTTCTTTTGCACAACGCCGGAATCGTGAGATTCGTTGAAGACTGTCACTAGCAACGCCACGGTACGAAAGGTCCAGTCCTTGTCGATGAGCGACATCGACGTGCCGATAACATCCTTCTTCCCGGTACCCGCAGTCCACATGTCGTGCATCAGGTTCAGGAACGGCCTCTTGTACGCGGATGTGTACTCAATCTCCAATAGGCGCTTCGCCATCTCGCGGAATCTCAAAAAGGAAGCCGCAAGTACGTCGTTGAACGTTTGCGCAGAGAGAACAACCACGTCCGGTTTTCCTGTAGCAACCTCCATTAAACTTCGGAAACTCTCGTCATCATATATGCAGGCAAAACTGGCGACCCGCTAAAGTGCTTTAAGGAACACAAAACTTATTCCTCACATCTCGGATCCAAAGGATAGGTGCGAGGCATGTTTTTCCTCGCTGTGCAGGCAAAATACGCTAGCGCTTTAAAACAAGATATTCACGCCAAACTATGTGAGCTTGGCTTTACC